CTTCCTCCAAGTGATCTAAAGGCAGCGGACACGCTAAATTAGATGTTTTCACAAAAAAGGGGGTGGAAAAAGACCGTACCCGGAAGGAACAAATCGTGGCTCGTTTCGCGCAGAAGGCGCGCTTGCAACCACCTAAAACGACCTTCCTCGTGACTAGGGTACGCTAAATAGGACGTTCATTGAAAAAGCGTTGGAGAAGATCCGAGAGGAATGGTGGCTTGGTGTGCGGGGAGAGGGGCTTGTAGCGACCTACAAAGACATTCCTCGATGCTGGGATCACTTTCCCAGCTGCATTCAGCTTAGATTGGCCGGTACCTGCCTGGCTGATACCTGCCCGTCAGCGCTCCAGCCCTTTTGTAATAAAGCAGACACAGCTAGGGGTTCATGCTGATGATCTGAGCTATTCTTGGGCGCGCGGAAATCTGCTTGCAGAGAGACCCTCCACGCCGACAGAGCCATTTTGGTGACTTGAGCCCGTTTCTGTTTGTTTTATTGTGCCACTTTTGTTGGTAACTGTGCTATATTTTCGTGCGGGCGACCATTAGCGTCCCTGCTGTTTGAATGACTCCTTCTCGTAGGCAGACGCTGAAAGTTGCCGCTCAGAAAGTGCTTCTGCATCAAGAATTCGATGTAAGCGTGATACTAGGCCTATAATGATTTTCGGCACTGAGAAAGGGCTACAACTATCATCGTACCTCCTCGACATATTTGGCGATACACTTCGGTTCGATTTGCTGAGCACAGCCATTACGTGGTCGAGCTCGGTCTGCGATAGGCCCTCCAAAGCATGATCGGGCAATCTGATGGGGCTCTCAGTGGAAGCTCGTGATTCGACACCAGACGACCTGAAAATTTGACATTTTCTGTCTGTTTTGAAAGCCTCATATTGAATGGCAACCAAATGTCCGGTGAACCTACCTTCGCAACAGATTCAAAATATCTCCACTTCGATCTTCAGAAAGTTTTCTAGGCCTGTTTCTCCGTTGTCGATCCAGGTGGCAGCGAGACAGACGGAATGGAAGATCTCGAACGTTCACTGGCAAAACTTGGTCTTTTCGAGAATAGTGACGAGAACAAACCAAAGCTCTGCACATCTTTCGGAGCCGGTTCGACCGTGAATGCAACCCTATAATGAGTAGTTCAAGCTTTTTTCATTATTAGCCCCGATTATAAAACTTTAGGATTATTTCCCGAAGTGGTGAATAGTGAAAAATAATATTTGTAGCTGTACTCCAGTGAGCATATTTACTGTTTTTTTTTTTGTTAGCAAAAAACAGGATTTCGTCTTGGGATTAAATGCTAAGTTGGTACTGGTGACAGACACCATGAATCAAAAAAGAAAAAACGGTTTATAACCCGGTTAAATTGTGGCCCCTTATTTGCCCAAAATACGCATTGCAGTCTCATCGACGCAGCCCTCGTCATCCCCAAAGCTCTCTCTTCTAGACGCCTAGAGTCAGACGGCAAGGAGTCACCCAGTGGTGGGTCAGCGGCACGAGGGTACGGCCAGTCATGGCCCGGCTAGGTCGCTGGGCATTTCCCTCGTTGCGGAACGCGCATGGTCCCATCCACTTCGAGGGTCGGCCTACTCGTCAACTAGGTGCACTTCCCCTCCTTCGACCGCCCTATCTTCATCACAAGTTCGTTTCCACGCGAGGATTAGACGATAAGAACGAAGATCGAAAGAGGGGGAAATTGCCTAATGTGGAAACAGGCGGACCTCCTGGGGTGTGGGACCGAAGCGCAATTGGCACCGAAAGAGTTGACCTCGGCGACCTAATAAGGCTCAATCTTGGCGCGGTGGGCCAGTGCACGCCCACCGATCAGCTGATCACTCGCCGCAGGTCTATACGTGGCGAGTGATTAGATAGCAGAGAGAGAGAGTGAGAGAGCGTAGTGTTGAAGAGGGCACAGCGATGAGAGTCGCATCAATGCTCGAATCAACGGGCAAGGAAGGGGTCCCATTTCTCGGGTTCTGGGCCGTTTCTCATGGTTCTTCCTTCTTTCGTGTACCACTCACCATCCCTAAGTTAATTTGAGGGTGAAATTGGGTTGCTTTTCCATCGTGAATTCGTCCTTCAATAAAGAAATAAATAAACCCAGAACGCCTGAAAATATTTCAACAGCCCCTTTACTGCCTACTCCAAACCCTACTGGGGAATCTCCTCTTTCATGGCTTCAGCGGATGTTTTTTGCGCGTTGGCATTACGGTGCTCCATTTGAATTAACCATGGCGACAGAAAGTTGAAGAGGGATTTTCGCGATAAGGTTGGAGAGTTACCGGGAGTGGAACTGACAGGTGCACCCCCAATGCTGCGGCACCGGACAAGCAAAGTTTTTCAAACGTTAGGATAGCCAACGGCCTAGCAGGTACAAACTCGCGGTGCCCGCGCGCTGCCCGCCTACTCGCTCGTCCTCTGACTCTAGCACAGAGAGCGTTAGCGTTGTTGAGGCGAGCACTCACACGCGCAGCGCACTAAAGAATGGGCAAAGAGCGGGTTCTAGGCCGGTTTTCTTGTTTTTCTTAATCCTCGCATCACACACCACCTTCGCCTTGTTTTAGTGTGTTATCTCTTCACCGTGGTGCTTTGAGCTTTCCTCAGAATGGGATCCATTTTCTACCGCATAACGCGCAATTTCGCCCAGCGAGTCATACTGAACGTCAATTCCATAGATGGTGAATCAGCTGCCTAAAGGGACCCAATAAACGCGCACGCTAATTGATTTTTACGCACGATACAGCGCGCGCCAAACTACGCCCAGAGGCCGGACGCATAGTCGGTCGGACGACAGCAACGACTGCAAGTGTCGCACAGCATTGGGTGCGTATCGATCTGCGACAGCAGCGGTCGGACGACAGCAACGACCGCAGGTGTCGCAGATCGATACGCACCCAATGCTGTGCGACACTTGCAGTCGTTGCTGTCGTCCGACCGACTATGCGTCCGGCCCAGTAACCGGATTTTGCAACCGTTTTCCAAATTCTGATTACGCTGACTAGCCCCTTTCCCACAATTTCCATGGCACTCATCCTTTTCAATAACTTCCTACTTCTCGATCGGTTATAAACTTGTTGCTCTATTTATTGCTTTCTTTTTCCGTTTCGAGTCTTTCAGCACGGGACACACTCTGCTCTAATACCAATTTGGCTCAGTGAGTCCTTTAAAGTTGGGAATTGTTCGTATGTGGTTCACTAGAACAGAAAGCGACTTTTCCGCGTTTTGCAGCGCGAAACAGTCTTCGCTGCAGGAACCTCAGGACCCTCTGATCGTGAGTGGACCTGGAGGTCCCGTGACGAAAATTTTTTCTCGCTGCGAAACACGAAAAAAATCGCTTTCTGTCCTAGTGAACCACACACACGTTAATAGCTTCATTCTTACACTATTTTTTCTTTAATTTTTTGTGTATCACTTGTTTTTGTTGCTTTATTTCGCGAGAAACTCATTGGAGTGGGGTCTAGAATCTTGAGAGATTTAAGCGCAGGAAATAGAGGATTGACTAGGAAACATGAACTTCTCACTCCCCGCTATGCTTGTGGAAAATGCTTATAAAATAAGCGAGACGGACCAAAAAATTTTTCGCTGAACTTCTATAGGGGTGAGCGAGAGTCCTAATCACAAATATGACATCAATTTTCCCATTTGGCGCCAGGGAAATGGCAAAATGGATGTCGTATTTCTGATCGGGGCCCTGACTACAAATAACATTTGTTTCAGTTTTTTGGAGTTATTTGGCGCCTATTTTCTGCTCGTCTGCGCCCTCTCACTAACTAGTTCGCAATCAGGACTAACCATAAGCATTGGGGAGGGGAGGGCCATAAGTAAGATCAGAAAAGCAGAAAATCAGGGTTAAAGAGCGTGGGTGCCAAAAACCAATATCATATTCGTAATCAGGACCCCGAAAACCTCCATTCACAAGTTTACAGGGAATTTAGTGGGAACAGCCGCGATGTCACTTGGCGCCAGCCCCAAAAATGGATGTCATAGTGATCAGGAGCCACGATAACCCCCACAGGAGAAGTTTCAGCGAAATTTTTTCATTCACGACTGCTTTGGGTTCATCTCACTGCCATTGGGGTTGTAATAGTGCAATAGTGCCAAATCTTTATCTATGAAACTGGTCGTAAAACTTCACGTGTCTTATCGATTGACGCGTGAACTGCGCGCAGCGCACGTCTTCCTGGACGCGTAGCATAAAAGCGTGCGTTTTGTCCAGCGTTTTGCTAAATCTACTGCAACCTGATGTGATACTAACTCCAAGCAGTATGTCCTTTCAAAAGTCGCTTCCAAATTCATGAGATGGAAGAAGAATATCCGACTATAAGGATTTGGTTTAGGGTACGCTAGAAAGCGAAAGAAAGTATGGTACTTCTTATTCCTAGTCTGACGATTGGATTTGGCACTGAACAGCGCGCGTCTCGACCACCACTGGTATTCGTAGTACTTTAGCGTGGGTTCAAGTACCCTTCTTATCCGGGACTTAGACACGGTGATCACCCGAAGTAAGCGTGAATTATAATGTTCTGCTGTAGTCACGTACAATGCGCGACGCATTGACGCGCTGAAGCGTGTGCTCGCCTCCACTTCTCGTTTTCTCTGCGCTCTCTCAACGAGAGAGAATGCGTCGAGCAAACTCGCCAACTATACTGAGCGCCGTTCATGTAGGAGGTGGAGGATGGCACGCATGTCAGATTGGCCTTGCGTGGATGGGGCGGCACCCGGGGATGACCTCCCTTCGGACTGAGCGCGTAGCGCGCGCTATGACGCCCCTCCGTTCTTTGATTGGTACACTAGTGAGCAGGGGTAGCTTCATTGTTTGCGAAACCTGTGGGATTATTCCAGGAACTTCGTAATTTACGCTTACTTCGACTGCTCACCGTGTCTAAACGGCTTAAGCCTGTATCCGGCGGCCAGGCGCGTGTCCACTGCAGACTTTCACAACACTAGTGACGACGGCTCCAAAAAATGTAACAACTTCCTGCCAACGAAATGGCTAGCCGTCGTCTTGTACTGCAGAATCGGTAATGCAGACTTTTCTGGCCGCCGGACACAGAGGGTTTTTTGAGAACAAATAATAGATAAACAACAAATAAACTTCTTTTGCAAGAAAACGAATTTGAATACAGTTTTTTGACGCAAAGTAAATAAAAAAAACTTAATTTGAAGCGTACCCGTTGTTCTGATCGTCGTCGAAACTTGTTGATACTGACGTCGAATGGCGAGTGAGTGAGCTGTCGGTGAAATAACGTGCTCTAGGATTGGACTGAGTTCGAAAATGCAGTCTTAGATCACGTTCGGCTTCATCAGCAATATCTTCGGTTATTCGATGTGCTGCAAAATTCAATCGACACAAGAAGTCCACATTACACAGCAAATCCCTGCTATCCGTGAAACTGTGTTGTTCGCAGAGCTCATAAGCATTAAGGAAGGCATGATGCTGCGAACAGATGTTTGCCACGCAATTGGAACTCAGCGAGAATCGAATACTCTCCGGCGCCTGTGGTTCGGTTCCTTCTTGGGCCACTTCGCTGAGCGATCGACGCAAGACCTTACCACTTGGCGACTCAATAGCGTCAATAGTGACCCCGATCTCTGGCCATGGTTTTGTAATAAATTCTACAGTTTCGTCACCAGAACGATCCTCCAAAGGAGTGTCTTCCAACGGGATTGATGTGGATGGGCTGTCCGGATGCGATGACTGAGATGCGCGCAGTGAATGGTCCGTATAGATGACACGAACCTTGGATCCGCGTTGTGAAATCGAGCGTTCCTGAGTTAATGAAGCATTGCTTTCAGCGCCAGAAGGATTACTTGTCATCCTTCGGCTGGTGGACATATATGACGACTGCCTCAGTAAAGTTCGCGGTATATTTGAGGTATAATTAATAGATGTACTCCTATTCAGACCATCTCTTTTCCCTATATCGTCGACACCGCTCACACTTGTGTATCGTCTTCGTAATCTCGATCTTCTACTCCCTTCAATCAGGTGAGCGCTTCTGTTCGGAGACTGAGGCCTATTATTGAACTGCATACTCGTGTGGGAGTCAACTCCCGATGACTGTGATGAGTTCTGTGATGTTTCCCCAGAACCTTGTGAATTTTGTCGAGTACCCTCTGGCGTGCCTCCAGATCCCTGCGGACTCTCTTCAATTGCTGCATTTCGTGCGTTGCCATTAGTTTCTGAACCATCCGTATCAACTTGCTTCGAGGACCTTACAGAAGAATAAGAGTCAGTATGGAATGTGGTCCTGTTGTGCTTGTATAAGGTCTCGTCAGGGGATTGACTGCCACTGAAACCAGTAATTCGTTCTACTTCATCAGACATTCTGAGGGGAGCAATATTATGGTGATCAAACAGTGACTGAGACCTGTTATGAGTATCCCGTGCAGAGCCCGGATCAACAGCTACTTCATCTTCGTGAGCTACAAGAGAGGTTATTCTGGGCTCATGAGAAGTTTGTTTCTGCTGTTCTACATTATTCTGAATAGACCACGAGGTAGGCTCGGCTGCATAAAACGATCGTGATCTTTCCTCAGTCCTTCCAAAGGCTTCACTTTGAGCAAATGCTCCTGCCTCTTGCAGTGCAGGAAGTGGTTTGAGATGGTGGCTCAACTGCGAACGACGTTTCCTCTGCGAGTTTCTGAATATATGCGATGTGGTCTAGTTCTTCCTGCGTAAGAGTGGGCTCCCGCGGCACTTCTGTTGTTTTGGAAGCGGCCACGTCAGCTTCATCGTAGGCCCAAGATGGAATTGGCTGTCCGAATGATACTTCCGGCATTGCCGTTTCCCTGTGGTCCACCTCATCAAATGATGTTTCTTCAACATGCTCCTGCTTTCGTTCCTCTAGCAGCGGTGATGTTCGCTCGTATATTGGAGCTGGAGAACCCATGTCAGAGGCGAGCTCTTCATCAGCTCCTGACGTCGCTTGAGATTCCTCGCTTTCCAACTCTGCTGCATAGCGCGGTTGATCTGCCTCATCTGCCACAAACGAGTCTTTTCTTCGTTCATCTTCAGTCACTGAAGGAGGTGCTGGACGAGGAGGGGGTTCAACTGCGAACGATGTTTCCTCTGCGAGTTTCTGAATATATGCGATGTGGTCTAGTTCTTCCTGCGTAAGAGTGGGCTCCCGCGGCACTTCTGTTGTTTTGGAAGCGGCCACGTCAGCTTCATCGTAGGCCCAAGATGGAATTGGCTGTCCGAATGATACTTCCGGCATTGCCGTTTCCCTGTGGTCCACCTCATCAAATGATGTTTCTTCATGCTCCTGCTTTCGTCCTCTCGTAGCAGCGGAAGAAGCGTAGGATCAAATGCGTAATTTCAAAAGACGTGATTGCTCTCTTTCTCGTCTCTCCTGGGTTGTAAGCTAATCGAATGCAGAAATCGGTGTAGCTGTGGGTGTGTGGGTGGTGGGGTGGGGGATGTGGTGTGTGTTTAGATCCAGAAAGGATATTTGCTGATGTGACGCGCGGATGTTGGTTAGGTTTCCTTCTTGCGTATCGAGTTACGGTTTCATTTGAGCATAATGCTGCCGCTGGAAGTGAGAGGTTTTGTGGGAATGAGCGACATTGGACTCCTGCGAACGGACGTTCTTCTGCTCGAGATTTCTGAATCATATGGCGATGTGTTAGTTATTCCTGAGTATAGGTAGGTGGGGCTCCCGCGGGCACTTCTGTTGGGTTTGGAAGCGGGCACGTACAGCTTCAATCGTATGGCCCCCAGAAGTGAAAATTGAGGACATGATTTCGGAATTAGATAACACGCACTTGCCGAGTTATCTGTAAAACAAACGGTGTCACAGCCTTCATCAAATAGAGTGTTCTTTCGACATGCATCTGCTGTCGTTGCCTCTAGCGCGTGATGTTGGTGAGCATCGGTATTGGTAGCTGGAAGCCACTTGTAGCTAGAGTGCGGAGCTCTCATCAGCTTTGACTTCGCTGAGATTTCTCCAGCTTGCCAACTTTGCACACTAGCGCGGTGAGTCTGCCTCATCTGCCACAAACGAGTCTTTTCTTCGTTCATCTTCAGTCACTGAAGGAGGTGCTGGACGAGGAGGGGGTTCAACTGCGAACGATGTTTCCTCTGCGAGTTTCTGAATATATGCGATGTGGTCTAGTTCTTCCTGCGTAAGAGTGGGCTCCCGCGGCACTTCTGTTGTTTTGGAAGCGGCCACGTCAGCTTCATCGTAGGCCCAAGATGGAATTGGGCTGTCCGAATGATACTTCCGGCATTGCCGTTTCCCTGTGGTCCACCTCATCAAATGATGTTTCTTCAACATGCTCCTGCTTTCGTTCCTCTAGCAGCGGTGATGTTCGCTCGTATATTGGAGCTGGAGAACCCATGTCAGGGGCGAGGGAGGCGGAGCTTTCAAGTCCAAGGTCTGAGGGCGGTTGTGGTGGTGGGTGGGGTCGGCGTGGGGGGGTGCGTTCGATATTTTTGAGATCTGTTCCGGCGCTTTCCATCATGTCGATGGACGATCTCAGTGCAGCAGAGCGCCAGTGTTGACTGCATCAATCTGCTAAAGTACGGTCTCTTCCTTCGTTCGCCCATTTATTTCAGTCATGAAGATATAGATAATGTGCCTTCGCACGCAGGAGGGGAGGATTCAACTGCGTACGAGGATCCTCTGCTGAGTTCAGATCTCTGAGATATATGCATGTGTTTCTAGTTTTCTGCTGTAGATCCAAAATGAGAGATAAGAGTAAGAGAGCATCCGCGGGAGGCCATCTGTTGTCGAGTGCCCCGTTGTTTTGGAAGTCTGGCCACGCTAGCATCTCGTAGGTCAAGATGGACATTGGCTGTGGCGTGTTGGAAGAGATTGATACTTCCTGCCGATGATGTCGTGTCCCTGATGGTTCACCTCATGCAGTGATTGACTGTTTTCCTCAACATGATCGCCGCTTCGAGTTCCTTCTTACGCGAGCGCGGTTCGCGCTGATTGTCATCCTACCTCGCTCGCGTTATGGAGAGGGCTGCTGGAGAATCATAGTTCAAGAGAGTGAGATCTTCATGCGAGCTCTGACGTCGCGTTGAGATTCCTCGCTTTCCAACTCTGCTGCATAGCGCGGTTGATCTGCCTCATCTGCCACAAACGAGTCTTTTCTTCGTTCATCTTCAGTCACTGAAGGAGGTGCTGGACGAGGAGGGGGTTCAACTGCGAACGATGTTTCCTCTGCGAGTTTCTGAATATATGCGATGTGGTCTAGTTCTTCCTGCGTAAGAGTGGGCTCCCGCGGCACTTCTGTTGTTTTGGAAGCGGCCACGTCAGCTTCATCGTAGGCCCAAGATGGAATTGGCTGTCCGAATGATACTTCCGGCATTGCCGTTTCCCTGTGGTCCACCTCATCAAATGATGTTTCTTCAACATGCTCCTGCTTTCGTTCCTCTAGCAGCGGTGATGTTCGCTCGTATATTGGAGCTGGAGAACCCATGTCAGAGGCGAGCTCTTCATCAGCTCCTGACGTCGCTTGAGATTCCTCGCTTTCCAACTCTGCTGCATAGCGCGGTTGATCTGCCTCATCTGCCACAACGAGTCTATTTCTTCGTTCATCTTCAGTCACTGAAGGAGGTGCTGGACGAGGAGGGGGTTCAACTGCGAACGATGTTTCCTCTGCGAGCTTCTGAATGTACGCGATGTGGTCTAGTTCTTCTTGAGTAAGAACTTCACTTTGAGCAAATGCTGCCGCCTGGAGTGAAGGAGTTTGAGATGGTGGCTCAACTGCGAACGACGTTTCCTCTGCGAGCTTCTCTGAATGTATGCGATGTGTGGTCTAGTTCTTCTTGCGTAAGAACTTCACTTTGAGCAAATGCTGCCGCCTGGAGTGAAGGAGTTTGAGATGGTGGCTCAACTGCGAACGACGTTTCCTCTGCGAGTTTCTGAATATATGCGATGTGGTCTAGTTCTTCCTGCGTAAGAGTGGGCTCCCGCGGCACTTCTGTTGTTTTGGAAGCGGCCACGTCAGCTTCATCGTAGGCCCAAGATGGAATTGGCTGTCCGAATGATACTTCCGGCATTGCCGTTTCCCTGTGGTCCACCTCATCAAATGATGTTTCTTCAACATGCTCCTGCTTTCGTTCCTCTAGCAGCGGTGATGTTCGCTCGTATATTGGAGCTGGAGAACCCATGTCAGAGGCGAGCTCTTCATCAGCTCCTGACGTCGCTTGAGATTCCTCGCTTTCCAACTCTGCTGCATAGCGCGGTTGATCTGCCTCATCTGCCACAAACGAGTCTTTTCTTCGTTCATCTTCAGTCACTGAAGGAGGTGCTGGACGAGGAGGGGGTTCAACTGCGAACGATGTTTCCTCTGCGAGCTTCTGAATGTACGCGATGTGGTCTAGTTCTTCTTGCGTAAGAACTTCACTTTGAGCAAATGCTGCCGCCTGGAGTGAAGGAGTTTGAGATGGTGGCTCAACTGCGAACGACGTTTCCTCTGCGAGTTTCTGAATATATGCGATGTGGTCTAGTTCTTCCTGCGTAAGAGTGGGCTCCCGCGGCACTTCTGTTGTTTTGGAAGCGGCCACGTCAGCTTCATCGTAGGCCCAAGATGGAATTGGCTGTCCGAATGATACTTCCGGCATTGCCGTTTCCCTGTGGTCCACCTCATCAAATGATGTTTCTTCAACATGCTCCTGCTTTCGTTCCTCTAGCAGCGGTGATGTTCGCTCGTATATTGGAGCTGGAGAACCCATGTCAGAGGCGAGCTCTTCATCAGCTCCTGACGTCGCTTGAGATTCCTCGCTTTCCAACTCTGCTGCATAGCGCGGTTGATCTGCCTCATCTGCCACAAACGAGTCTTTTCTTCGTTCATCTTCAGTCACTGAAGGAGGTGCTGGACGAGGAGGGGGTTCAACTGCGAACGATGTTTCCTCTGCGAGCTTCTGAATGTACGCGATGTGGTCTAGTTCTTCTTGCGTAAGAACTTCACTTTGAGCAAATGCTGCCGCCTGGAGTGAAGGAGTTTGAGATGGTGGCTCAACTGCGAACGACGTTTCCTCTGCGAGTTTCTGAATATATGCGATGTGGTCTAGTTCTTCCTGCGTAAGAGTGGGCTCCCGCGGCACTTCTGTTGTTTTGGAAGCGGCCACGTCAGCTTCATCGTAGGCCCAAGATGGAATTGGCTGTCCGAATGATACTTCCGGCATTGCCGTTTCCCTGTGGTCCACCTCATCAAATGATGTTTCTTCAACATGCTCCTGCTTTCGTTCCTCTAGCAGCGGTGATGTTCGCTCGTATATTGGAGCTGGAGAACCCATGTCAGAGGCGAGCTCTTCATCAGCTCCTGACGTCGCTTGAGATTCCTCGCTTTCCAACTCTGCTGCATAGCGCGGTTGATCTGCCTCATCTGCCACAAACGAGTCTTTTCTTCGTTCATCTTCAGTCACTGAAGGAGGTGCTGGACGAGGAGGGGGTTCAACTGCGAACGATGTTTCCTCTGCGAGCTTCTGAATGTACGCGATGTGGTCTAGTTCTTCTTGCGTAAGAACTTCACTTTGAGCAAATGCTGCCGCCTGGAGTGAAGGAGTTTGAGATGGTGGCTCAACTGCGAACGACGTTTCCTCTGCGAGTTTCTGAATATATGCGATGTGGTCTAGTTCTTCCTGCGTAAGAGTGGGCTCCCGCGGCACTTCTGTTTGTTTGGAAGCGGCCACGTCAGCTTCATCGTAGGCCCAAGATGGAATTGGCTGTCCGAATGATACTTCCGGCATTGCCGTTTCCCTGTGGTCCACCTCATCAAATGATGTTTCTTCAACATGCTCCTGCTTTCGTTCCTCTAGCAGCGGTGATGTTCGCTCGTATATTGGAGCTGGAGAACCCATGTCAGAGGCGAGCTCTTCATCAGCTCCTGACGTCGCTTGAGATTCCTCGCTTTCCAACTCTGCTGCATAGCGCGGTTGATCTGCCTCATCTGCCACAAACGAGTCTTTTCTTCGTTCATCTTCAGTCACTGAAGGAGGTGCTGGACGAGGAGGGGGTTCAACTGCGAACGATGTTTCCTCTGCGAGCTTCTGAATGTACGCGATGTGGTCTAGTTCTTCTTGCGTAAGAACTTCACTTTGAGCAAATGCTGCCGCCTGGAGTGAAGGAGTTTGAGATGGTGGCTCAACTGCGAACGACGTTTCCTCTGCGAGTTTCTGAATGTACGCGATGTGGTCTAGTTCTTCTTGCGTAAGAACTTCACTTTGAGCAAATGCTGCCGCCTGGAGTGAAGGAGTTTGAGATGGTGGCTCAACTGCGAACGACGTTTCCTCTGCGAGTTTCTGAATATATGCGATGTGGTCTAGTTCTTCCTGCGTAAGAGTGGGCTCCCGCGGCACTTCTGTTGTTTTGGAAGCGGCCACGTCAGCTTCATCGTAGGCCCAAGATGGAATTGGCTGTCCGAATGATACTTCCGGCATTGCCGTTTCCCTGTGGTCCACCTCATCAAATGATGTTTCTTCAACATGCTCCTGCTTTCGTTCCTCTAGCAGCGGTGATGTTCGCTCGTATATTGGAGCTGGAGAACCCATGTCAGAGGCGAGCTCTTCATCAGCTCCTGACGTCGCTTGAGATTCCTCGCTTTCCAACTCTGCTGCATAGCGCGGTTGATCTGCCTCATCTGCCACAAACGAGTCTTTTCTTCGTTCATCTTCAGTCACTGAAGGAGGTGCTGGACGAGGAGGGGGTTCAACTGCGAACGATGTTTCCTCTGCGAGTTTCTGAATATATGCGATGTGGTCTAGTTCTTCCTGCGTAAGAGTGGGCTCCCGCGGCACTTCTGTTGTTTTGGAAGCGGCCACGTCAGCTTCATCGTAGGCCCAAGATGGAATTGGCTGTCCGAATGATACTTCCGGCATTGCCGTTTCCCTGTGGTCCACCTCATCAAATGATGTTTCTTCAACATGCTCCTGCTTTCGTTCCTCTAGCAGCGGTGATGTTCGCTCGTATATTGGAGCTGGAGAACCCATGTCAGAGGCGAGCTCTTCATCAGCTCCTGACGTCGCTTGAGATTCCTCGCTTTCCAACTCTGCTGCATAGCGCGGTTGATCTGCCTCATCTGCCACAAACGAGTCTTTTCTTCGTTCATCTTCAGTCACTGAAGGAGGTGCTGGACGAGGAGGGGGTTCAACTGCGAACGATGTTTCCTCTGCGAGTTTCTGAATATATGCGATGTGGTCTAGTTCTTCCTGCGTAAGAGTGGGCTCCCGCGGCACTTCTGTTGTTTTGGAAGCGGCCACGTCAGCTTCATCGTAGGCCCAAGATGGAATTGGCTGTCCGAATGATACTTCCGGCATTGCCGTTTCCCTGTGGTCCACCTCATCAAATGATGTTTCTTCAACATGCTCCTGCTTTCGTTCCTCTAGCAGCGGTGATGTTCGCTCGTATATTGGAGCTGGAGAACCCATGTCAGAGGCGAGCTCTTCATCAGCTCCTGACGTCGCTTGAGATTCCTCGCTTTCCAACTCTGCTGCATAGCGCGGTTGATCTGCCTCATCTGCCACAAACGAGTCTTTTCTTCGTTCATCTTCAGTCACTGAAGGAGGTGCTGGACGAGGAGGGGGTTCAACTGCGAACGATGTTTCCTCTGCGAGCTTCTGAATATATGCGATGTGGTCTAGTTCTTCCTGCGTAAGAGTGGGCTCCCGCGGCACTTCTGTCGTTTTGGAAGCGGCCACGTCAGCTTCCTCGTAGGCCCAAGATGGAGTTGGCGGCCGGGATGGTAGTTCTTGCTGCAGGGCCTCCTTCTCGTGAATGCGAAGTCTGTCGGCTGTGGCTTGTGCAAGTTGACTGAGTGAGCGGTTTTGCAGTTGTGCTGATGTGGCGTCATGGTGTTCAGTCTTCTGCTGCAACTGCTTGGGTGATATTTTGGGCTCTTCACATGCGGAATGCCGGATTCCCAAGGGAAAGGTAACTTCTTCCAATATTTCTGGCATAGACTGGTTCAGGTCACAGCTTTTGCCATCTATTAGACCTTTGGCTTTGTACATTGAGTCCCAGTATACACCTTCTCCGATTTCAATCCCTTTGCTCATTTCACACTGTTCCATCTCAGTTGTCTTCGATTCCTGTGAACCGTGAACGGCCTCTCCGTCGTTGCTGCCCAGATCCTGTAATAGAAAAAATACTCATTTGAGCCTACGGTCCCTTAATTGTACTCGTTAACTGCCGAACGGCTTTACTTTTTCTCTCCGAAAATGCTAATTTTTCACATCCTGACGGCAAAAGTTTTGCCATTTCGAGTGAAATACTTTTAGACATTGTTATAGGCCATTTCTATTACTATTTCAGATATGGATCAAGAGAAATTACAGGAACATCGCTCTTCCTTCTTGCTTCCCCTTGCATAAGAGAAGTTCTAGTCGGAATGGGGAGGAGGTGAGGGGAGTGGAGTGGGGAATCGGCAGTGAAGCTAACTGCTTTACCCACTCCTTCCCTTCCGTTTCCGGATTCGCTTCTTGTGTCTTATGCTGTTTTAGCTTCTCTATTACCATGAATAATTTGACATGAGCACCAGTTCGCACTTATGAGCCATTATTCCAGTGCTTTGCGCATTCCGTGGCAGTGACAGCGAGAGTGAAAGTGGTCGAGGACTCGACAATGGTGCGTCGAGGATTTTCGCCTGCTCAGTCACGCTCTCCCGCGCGGACATTCACTCTCGCCACCGCGAGCCGTCTGTGCTCTCCGCGCGTACATTCACTCTCGGCACTACTCTCACACAGCAGAGCCATGGTCGAGGAGTTTCCTCGACCGTTATTCACCCTGGTTACAACTCACTCGAAAAGAAGCCTTTCAAGGGTCCGAGATGCGCATCCTACTCTCGCGAACAATCTGTTGAAGGCTTGAAGCAGCAACTCCGCATGGGTTCATGCTTTTGCTGCTGACCATAAGTGAAAAGTCGCATGAACACAAGAAGTTTTGTTGAAGCATGCTCGTTTTGAAAAGCCGCTAAGATTGTCGGGTAGATGTGTCGCCCGCTTTTCCACAGACACGTCGGTTTGCTAGCCTTGGGGAAGGTGTGACAAGTTGCGTAGTCCCTGCGCAAGTGGCTGCGTGTCTCCTGCGCTACAGCGTGTAAACTGTGGCCGAAGTGAAGGGAATGCTGCCTAATTTTCAATTGTTTTTCAATTTTTCAATTCAATTAAATTGCGTAAATCGTTAACTGTGGTATGTCTTTGTTTGCATTCGTTCGTATGCAGTTGCAGCCGCACTTTATGCTGGCAAGGAGCGAGCAGTAAATGCCGATGGAGCAATCTAGTTCAAACAGCTCGTCCGGCAACATCCCTCCATATTTCAGTGGAGAAGAAGGGAATCCTTGTGCGAGGGCTTCGTCAGCAGTTTTCTTCGTTTCTTTTTTCATTTGAATCGTCGGAATCCACAATTTCATTGTCGAACGCTTCTACGCCATCAATTTGATCTGGGTGTGGTGCTTCATTAAAATTCCCTGACTTGCTCTGGCGCAATTGTTTCAACTTCTTAGTCAGAGAGAACTATGGGAAAGCGTGGAATGTTAGCAGCAAATTCATTGTCAGCATAAAAATAGGCCAATCCCCTTGCCTGGGCTAGCTCGCTTATTACAGGGCAGAACAAACCAAGGAAGGTAAACAGGTCCGGCCGCTTGAAATGAGATGTGCACGTTTGCATTTGTCTCAAGATGCAGAGCTCAGAGCTTATTTCCATATCTTTCATACGGTCCTTAAGCGGAGTTATGGACGGGAATGTTGCAAATGTTGCAAATGTAGTTAGATAAACATTCGACTTTTCCATCAACGCTCTGTTACAAAAGAAAAGTTCAAGGTGGAAAGGTCACATTATATCACGAAGGTACGGGAAACAGTGCTGGGGATAGGCCCCATAACATGGAAGGCATTATGTAGGAATCATAGTAAACAGCTCTGAGCTCAGCGTCTCAGTAAGAATGCATTGATATATTCCTCGCTGCTAAGAGTCAAACCGACCTGTCGGCTTTCCTTAGTGAACATTCTGATTAGATGTGACAAAAATACAAAATTGCCATGCCTGGTTTTTTCGGGAACATCAATATAACATAAACTTGAAACGTATATTCAATAATGTCTTGCCTGGCTTTGGTAATAGGTGACAACAGTGTAACCAATCGTAGAAGGCAACTTATTGGAGATCGATGGTGGTCGGCCAAGAAATGAAGATAGGGAGCTTTCGTCTAACAGCTCAGCGTCATATGCGGTAATCTGGTCAAGACCTGCACGAAGATTTTCAACATTCGAGCATGATGTGCGGGGGTACTCCGTTGTTTTCTCTGGGAACTCTTGTCGCTTACCCTCAAACGATTCGGAGCCTGTGGCTACGAGCGCTTCCAGCCATGATAAATCAGCCGTGATATGAAAATCACCAGGTGCTTCAGCAATTTCGGCCACTGTTCCTGATTCATTACACGGTCTTGGCTGCATGGAATCCAACATCTCATTAGAGGTGTTCATGGTTGTCAAAAGAGAGCTATCAGGCACATCCGGGCGTTTGTTACATGATGAATTCGAATTTATCTGCCATTTTTCTACGGCTCTTGTTGGAGGCACTGGCGGCACGACTGACAAAGAGGTTTCCTCTGCCTAGTTTTCGAATGTACGCGATGTGGTCCAGCTCTTCTTGGGTCAGCATCGGCTCGGATGGTATCTCTGCTGCCTTGACGGCGATTTCGTCCTCATCCGTCGCCCATGACGGCAGTGGTGGTCTGGATGGTAATCCTGGCTGAACTGCTTCGTCATGGTCTACTTGATCGAATGATGTTGTCGTAACAGGTTTCTCTTCTTCCTCCAACAATGGTGAAGTTCGCTCATATAAAGGAACCGGCGAGCCAGCATCAGACGCCTCGACTTGGTCAGCACCTGATGTGGCTTCGGACTCATCTCTTGATTCTTCCTTTGCGAACGAGTCCTTTCTCAAGTCTGGAGGGGCTGGGCGAGGAGGTGGTGCGACTGATGTCTCCTCTGCCAGTCTTTGAATGTACGCGATGTGGTCCAGCTCTTCTTGGGTCAGCATCGGCTCGGATGGCACGAATGATGTTGTCGTAACAGGTTTCTCTTCTTCCTCCAACAATGGTGAAGTTCGCTCATATAAAGGAACCGGCGAGCCAGCATCAGACGCCTCGACTTGGTCAGCACCTGATGTGGCTTCGGACTCATCTCTTGATTCTTCCTTTGCGAACGAGTCCTTTCTCAAGTCTACTGAGGAGGGCTGGGCGAGGAGGTGGTGCGACTGATGTCTCCTCTGCCAGTCTTTGAATGTACGCGATGTGGTCCAGCTCTTCTTGGGTCAGCATCGGCTCGGATGGTATCTCTGCTGCCTTGACGGCGATTTCGTCCTCATCCGTCGCCCATGACGGCAGTGGTGGTCTGGATGGTAATCCTGGCTGAACTGCTTCGTCATGGTCTACTTGATCGAATGTTGTCGTAACAGGTTTCTCTTCTTCCTCCAACAATGGTGAAGTTCGCTCATATAAAGGAACCGGCGAGCCAGCATCAGACGCCTCGACTTGGTCAGCACCTGATGTGGCTTCGGACTCATCTCTTGATTCTTCCTTTGCGAACGAGTCCTTTCTCAAGTCTGGAGGGGCTGGGCGAGGAGGTGGTGCGACTGATGTCTCCTCTGCCAGTCTTTGAATGTACGCGATGTGGTCGAGCTCTTCTTGGGTCAGCATCGGCTCGGATGGCACGAATGATGTTGTCGTAACAGGTTTCTCTTCTTCCTCCAACAATGGTGAAGTTCGCTCATATAAAGGAACCGGCGAGCCAGCATCAGACGCCTCGACTTGGTCAGCACCTGATGTGGCTTCGGACTCATCTCTTGATTCTTCCTTTGCGAACGAGTCCTTTCTCAAGTCTACTGATGGAGGGGCTGGGCGAGGAGGTGGTGCGACTGATGTCTCCTCTGCCAGTCTTTGAATGTACGCGATGTGGTCCAGCTCTTCTTGGGTCAGCATCGGCTCGGATGGCACGAATGATGTTGTCGTAACAGGTTTCTCTTCTTCCTCCAACAATGGTGAAGTTCGCTCATATAAAGGAACCGGCGAGCCAGCATCAGACGCCTCGACTTGGTCAGCACCTGATGTGGCTTCGGACTCATCTCTTGATTCTTCCTTTGCGAACGAGTCCTTTCTCAAGTACTGATGGAGGGGCTGGGCGAGGAGGTGGTGCGACTGATGTCTCCTCTGCCAGTCTTTGAATGTACGCGATGTGGTCCAGCTCTTCTTGGGTCAGCATCGGCTCGGATGGCACGAATGATGTTGTCGTAACAGGTTTCTCTTCTTCCTCCAACAATGGTGAAGTTCGCTCATATAAAGGAACCGGCGAGCCAGCATCAGACGCCTCGACTTGGTCAGCACCTGATGTGGCTTCGGACTCATCTCTTGATTCTTCCTTTGCGAACGAGTCCTTTCTCAAGTCTGATGGAGGGGCTGGGCGAGGAGGTGGTGCGACTGATGTCTCCTCTGCCAGTCTTTGAATGTACGCGATGTGGTCCAGCTCTTCTTGGGTCAGCATCGGCTCGGATGGCACGAATGATGTTGTCGTAACAGGTTTCTCTTCTTCCTCCAACAATGGTGAAGTTCGCTCATATAAAGGAACCGGCGAGCCAGCATCAGACGCCTCGACTTGGTCAGCACCTGATGTGGCTTCGGACTCATCTCTTGATTCTTCCTTTGCGAACGAGTCCTTTCTCAAGTCTGGAGGGGCTGGGCGAGGAGGTGGTGCGACTGATGTCTCCTCTGCCAGTCTTTGAATGTACGCGATGTGGTCCAGCTCTTCTTGGGTCAGCATCGGCTCGGATGGTATCTCTGCTGCCTTGACGGCGATTTCGTCCTCATCCGTCGCCCATGACGGCAGTGGTGGTCTGGATGGTAATCCTGGCTGAACTGCTTCGTCATGGTCTACTTGATCGAATGATGTTGTCGTAACAGGTTTCTCTTCTTCCTCCAACAATGGTGAAGTTCGCTCATATAAAGGAACCGGCGAGCCAGCATCAGACGCCTCGACTTGGTCAGCACCTGATGTGGCTTCGGACTCATCTCTTGATTCTTCCTTTGCGAACGAGTCCTTTCTCAAGTCTGGAGGGGCTGGGCGAGGAGGTGGTGCGACTGATGTCTCCTCTGCCAGTCTTTGAATGTACGCGATGTGGTCCAGCTCTTCTTGGGTCAGCATCGGCTCGGATGGTATCTCTGCTGCCTTGACGGCGATTTCGTCCTCATCCGTCGCCCATGACGGCAGTGGTGGTCTGGATGGTAATCCTGGCTGAACTGCTTCGTCATGGTCTACTTGATCGAATGATGTTGTCGTAACAGGTTTCTCTTCTTCCTCCAACAATGGTGAAGTTCGCTCATATAAAGGAACCGGCGAGCCAGCATCAGACGCCTCGACTTGGTCAGCACCTGATGTGGCTTCGGACTCATCTCTTGATTCTTCCTTTGCGAACGAGTCCTTTCTCAAGTCTGGAGGGGCTGGGCGAGGAGGTGGTGCGACTGATGTCTCCTCTGCCAGTCTTTGAATGTACGCGATGTGGTCCAGCTCTTCTTGGGTCAGCATCGGCTCGGATGGTATCTCTGCTGCCTTGACGGCGATTTCGTCCTCATCCGTCGCCCATGACGGCAGTGGTGGTCTGGATGGTAATCCTGGCTGAACTGCTTCGTCATGGTCTACTTGATCGAATGATGTTGTCGTAACAGGTTTCTCTTCTTCCTCCAACAATGGTGAAGTTCGCTCATATAAAGGAACCGGCGAGCCAGCATCAGACGCCTCGACTTGGTCAGCACCTGATGTGGCTTCGGACTCATCTCTTGATTCTTCCTTTGCGAACGAGTCCTTTCTCAAGTCTACTGATGGAGGGGCTGGGCGAGGAGGTGGTGCGACTGATGTCTCCTCTGCCAGTCTTTGAATGTACGCGATGTGGTCCAGCTCTTCTTGGGTCAGCATCGGCTCGGATGGCACGAATGATGTTGTCGTAACAGGTTTCTCTTCTTCCTCCAACAATGGTGAAGTTCGCTCATATAAAGGAACCGGCGAGCCAGCATCAGACGCCTCGACTTGGTCAGCACCTGATGTGGCTTCGGACTCATCTCTTGATTCTTCCTTTGCGAACGAGTCCTTTCTCAAGTCTGGAGGGGCTGGGCGAGGAGGTGGTGCGACTGATGTCTCCTCTGCCAGTCTTTGAATGTACGCGATGTGGTCCAGCTCTTCTTGGGTCAGCATCGGCTCGGATGGTATCTCTGCTGCCTTGACGGCGATTTCGTCCTCATCCGTCGCCCATGACGGCAGTGGTGGTCTGGATGGTAATCCTGGCTGAACTGCTTCGTCATGGTCTACTTGATCGAATGATGTTGTCGTAACAGGTTTCTCTTCTTCCTCCAACAATGGTGAAGTTCGCTCATATAAAGGAACCGGCGAGCCAGCATCAGACGCCTCGACTTGGTCAGCACCTGATGTGGCTTCGGACTCATCTCTTGATTCTTCCTTTGCGAACGAGTCCTTTCTCAAGTCTACTGATGGAGGGGCTGGGCGAGGAGGTGGTGCGACTGATGTCTCCTCTGCCAGTCTTTGAATGTACGCGATGTGGTCCAGCTCTTCTTGGGTCAGCATCGGCTCGGATGGCACGAATGATGTTGTCGTAACAGGTTTCTCTTCTTCCTCCAACAATGGTGAAGTTCGCTCATATAAAGGAACCGGCGAGCCAGCATCAGACGCCTCGACTTGGTCAGCACCTGATGTGGCTTCGGACTCATCTCTTGATTCTTCCTTTGCGAACGAGTCCTTTCTCAAGTCTGGAGGGGCTGGGCGAGGAGGTGGTGCGACTGATGTCTCCTCTGCCAGTCTTTGAATGTACGCGATGTGGTCCAGCTCTTCTTGGGTCAGCATCGGCTCGGATGGTATCTCTGCTGCCTTGACGGCGATTTCGTCCTCATCCGTCGCCCATGACGGCAGTGGTGGTCTGGATGGTAATCCTGGCTGAACTGCTTCGTCATGGTCTACTTGATCGAATGATGTTGTCGTAACAGGTTTCTCTTCTTCCTCCAACAATGGTGAAGTTCGCTCATATAAAGGAACCGGCGAGCCAGCATCAGACGCCTCGACTTGGTCAGCACCTGATGTGGCTTCGGACTCATCTCTTGATTCTTCCTTTGCGAACGAGTCCTTTCTCAAGTCTACTGAGAGGGGCTGGGCGAGGAGGTGGGCGACTGATGTCTCCTCTGCCAGTCTTTGAATGTACGCGATGTGGTCCAGCTCTTCTTGGGTCAGCATCGGCTCGGATGGTATCTCTGCTGCCTTGACGGCGATTTCGTCCTCATCCGTCGCCCATGACGGCAGTGGTGGTCTGGATGGTAATCCTGGCTGAACTGCTTCGTCATGGTCTACTTGATCGAATGATGTTGTCGTAACAGGTTTCTCTTCTTCCTCCAACAATGGTGAAGTTCGCTCATATAAAGGAACCGGCGAGCCAGCATCAGACGCCTCGACTTGGTCAGCACCTGATGTGGCTTCGGACTCATCTCTTGATTCTTCCTTTGCGAACGAGTCCTTTCTCAAGTCTACTGATGGAGGGGCTGGGCGAGGAGGTGGTGCGACTGATGTCTCCTCTGCCAGTCTTTGAATGTACGCGATGTGGTCCAGCTCTTCTTGGGTCAGCATCGGCTCGGATGGTATCTCTGCTGCCTTGACGGCGATTTCGTCCTCATCCGTCGCCCATGACGGCAGTGGTGGTCTGGATGGTAATCCTGGCTGAACTGCTTCGTCATGGTCTACTTGATCGAATGATGTTGTCGTAACAGGTTTCTCTTCTTCCTCCAACAATGGTGAAGTTCGCTCATATAAAGGAACCGGCGAGCCAGCATCAGACGCCTCGACTTGGTCAGCACCTGATGTGGCTTCGGACTCATCTCTTGATTCTTCCTTTGCGAACGAGTCCTTTCTCAAGTCTGGAGGGGCTGGGCGAGGAGGTGGTGCGACTGATGTCTCCTCTGCCAGTCTTTGAATGTACGCGATGTGGTCCAGCTCTTCTTGGGTCAGCATCGGCTCGGATGGTATCTCTGCTGCCTTGACGGCGATTTCGTCCTCATCCGTCGCCCATGACGGCAGTGGTGGTCTGGATGGTAATCCTGGCTGAACTGCTTCGTCATGGTCTACTTGATCGAATGATGTTGTCGTAACAGGTTTCTCTTCTTCCTCCAACAATGGTGAAGTTCGCTCATATAAAGGAACCGGCGAGCCAGCATCAGACGCCTCGACTTGGTCAGCACCTGATGTGGCTTCGGACTCATCTCTTGATTCTTCCTTTGCGAACGAGTCCTTTCTCAAGTCTGGAGGGGCTGGGCGAGGAGGTGGTGCGACTGATGTCTCCTCTGCCAGTCTTTGAATGTACGCGATGTGGTCCAGCTCTTCTTGGGTCAGCATCGGCTCGGATGGTATCTCTGCTGCCTTGACGGCGATTTCGTCCTCATCCGTCGCCCATGACGGCAGTGGTGGTCTGGATGGTAATCCTGGCTGAACTGCTTCGTCATGGTCTACTTGATCGAATGATGTTGTCGTAACAGGTTTCTCTTCTTCCTCCAACAATGGTGAAGTTCGCTCATATAAAGGAACCGGCGAGCCAGCATCAGACGCCTCGACTTGGTCAGCACCTGATGTGGCTTCGGACTCATCTCTTGATTCTTCCTTTGCGAACGAGTCCTTTCTCAAGTCTGGAGGGGCTGGGCGAGGAGGTGGTGCGACTGATGTCTCCTCTGCCAGTCTTTGAATGTACGCGATGTGGTCCAGCTCTTCTTGGGTCACTTCGGAGGAGATGTTGATGTCTGTTGAATAATATTGGCTTTCTAGATTTTCCGTTTCGTTTTGATTAAATGCATGAGGGCTCCCCATCTGCTGCACTACTGATCTGTAATCAGAGTCCCAGTAATCGTGCTCTTCATTTTCCTTCCGTGTGTTTTGTTGTTCTGGGTGTGGTGCTTCCACGTCCCTTGAAATTTTTTGGCTAGGATCACCTTCCTCTCCGAAGTATGCCTGTAATAAGGTGCATGGTTACAGAGGTTTTTTTATTTTGTGTTTGGCTGTCTATGATTTAGGAATCTGCTGCTAGCGCGGATCTGCTTTTGTTAGTCAAAATCAAGCTTTATCGCTTCAACATTGTCGAAAGTTCGTGTTCTTTGATCATCCTCCTACTACTCAATTGTGAACGTGGTCAAAGTTGCCTTATTGCCCTCCTTTTGACCGAATTAGCATTGTCCGGCATGGTGTAGTTTAGGAAGATCGGTGTTGTGAGCTTGGAGATTGAAAATTTATATAGCTTTTGCTCTTGGCAGAACCTAATGGCTCAGGTTATTATGCTTGTGACGGTTTCAGCTCCGTGGTTCATTGGAATCTCGTTAATATTCAAGTTTAAATGAGTTTTTGTTACTGCTCCATTGCAAAAGAGAATCAGTAGTGACAGAGGAATGTTCGGTAGAAGGACCAAACGCATATCACCGAAGAATACGTTCTAAATCTTACTCTACCTCAAATCACTTCACGTCAGTGAGTATGCATTTTTGGATTCACTCTCAAAAATTATTGTGAGGTGTAAAACTACTTCAAGGTTATGTGCTTTCTTGCATTTTGCACTGTTCACTTGCCAAAGCGAAGAGTGAAAACCGACAATTGTATTAGGTACCGGATATCTTAGTGTCGTTTTTTCACCACGAGTTTCGGACCACCAATATTTTAATTCAGAATCCGGGGAGTGAAACAGCATATTCATCGAATGACTCATTAGCACTTTCCCATTTACCAGTATGAGTGGAAACCTCGTACGATTAAAGCTAGGAATTTTTTGAGTCGAAAAAGAGAGGTAGGTCGGTTTTGACATCATCTGACAAATCATCCCTCTCACTTGCTAAAAAGTTAGGCCTGGACAAAAGAAGTATACAGTTAGTTAGAGTAGGGTCTGCACTGTATGGTGGAAAAGTTAAAACTTACCAGCTCAACTGGACAATTTTTCCCGGAGTCTTTTTTGCCACATAGGGTCAAAAACGCACCCTTTTTGAGCACACGTGAGTAGCAGATGAGCACATTTATTAGAATTTCTTGTGCAATCAACTTCGTTAAAGCGTTTGTGCATCATCGATCAGTCACTGCTAAGGTGTCCTACCATTTAAGACTGGTGCAGCCCCGTCTCGACTGATTTAACTAGGGCCACCTTTTTGACGACGATTGCGGGCATCACTTCAAAGACTTCACTGTCTTTTGAGAAAACTGTGAAAAACCGATGAGCATTTTAAATGGTAGTATTCCCTCCAACAAATGCAATGTTGGTTTGGTGGGCGGAAGTTGTAGCTCTCAGCAAGAATTTTGAAGCATTTGGTACACACATGCGAATTTGCACACTGGACCCAGGATTTTCAAAAAAAGTATAAAAATTGGGGAAAGTTAAATTGTGAACCAACAATAGAAAACAATAAGCAAAGGGACACTAAGATATCCGGTACTGAGTTAGGGACACTAAGATATCCGGTACTTAATGTTAGACTGAATTACGCATTTTGGGACATTCGCCTTATTCAATTCGATCGGTTGGCAATTTTTTTAAACTTATTCATGAAAAGCTTGAGCACCTTCTTCATTTGAATTGCCTTCTAGCAGTGATATATAATTCTTCGTTTTAACCCTCTGACGACAGTGCGAATTTTTGCGCGGGTGCGTGCTTATGGGCCCAACGCCTGCTTTTTGACGCGCACCCCAATCCTCGCTTACCCAATCCGGCGCAAGCTTCCCCTAGAGTTGGTCCTGTTAGAAATTTTTTGGACCTTTGGCATATATCCAGATTATGACTGAGTCTAATTAGGCTTCAATAGTGTATGTGTTGTTCCGACGAATGCAGGACTGCGGTTTCAAAAGGAGGTGAGGGCAAAACCTCCACAAAGGTTAAGTGTCCTTATTTGAGAAGTTTTCGTATATCATCTTGAGCTCTCTTTCCCGTATTTTGAGGTTAGTGGGGCTTAGATCTGATGTGGAAGGTCCTTATTAGTGATCTTAAATTCTCCTGTCCTTATAATGCATAACCTCTTTCATTAATACCTGTTGCGAGCTAAATTGGCTTGTATTTCTCATAATTCTTTATAATTAGCTGTTAGTTAAACAATTTCTGGTAATGCATTTTTTTATAAGCGGCAGAGAACAGTGAATTTTTAAGGTGTAGCCCATTGCCATTGTGCTGTGTTGTTCCCGACGTCTGGGCGTTATTATTCTATGTCGTTGCATCTGTATTCGGTGGGTAACATTTTCTGTCAATTTATGCTTCTTCATATAGATATTTATTCTTTCCTATCGGAAGAAATCTTCTCTCCCTCTATTTCCATTCAAGAAGAACGATTATATCTCTTTAAATGGTAATCCTCTCACGTGAAAAGGAGTGAGTCATTTGTTCGTCTGCGTGTAGTGATTATTTATTATTCGATTAACTATTATACGCTATTTTTCTCGTGTTGTCCTTTTGTCTTATTGTTCATTTTGATGGTATTGGCCTTAAGGGTTATTCTGTTTTCTAGGAATGATGCTTTCCGCTGGTGTAAGCTTCTCTTATAGGCTTATCAAATCTAATGTCGTCCGTCCGATTGTATTTCCCTCATTATATGGTTCACCGTTTTCTGCACATCGGACATTTTCTTTCTATATAGTTATTTCTTCGATCTTGTAAAGGTGCATGTCCTTCTTATCACATTTCGGTACCAATATTTGCTGAACCAGGTCTCATTATTTATGAGTATGTTGTTGCTATTGGTAAAGATGATTTGATTAATCTTGGGCGGAAAGTCTGACATGGTCTTGTCACGTAGATTCTGTGTCAGTCAGACTCAGAAACTTCGATGTTTGAATTTTTTATCTCTACTTGCTCTACGTTTGGTCTCGTGCGTATCTGCATTTCTCCCCTCAGTTCTACGTTCAACGCGCTTACTCACCGGCGTGCCATCTAACCTTCCTTTAACACTTCTTGCTCTAGATATACGAAATTTTTATCAGATTTTCAAAATTCAAATTTCAAACTCACTTCGTAGGACTTATCCTGGTGTGTAGCGGAAGCATAGCCCACCATTGCAGAAGATGACTCGGTAAAGTAAGGCAGCTGCCGAGAAATAGATGACAAAGCGAAGTCTTCTAGTGGTTCAGGTTCATATTTTGTGATCTGTTCGATGCCTTCACGTAACCCTTCCAATTCTATGCTCCTTAGGTCTCGTTGATCTGCTGCTTTTTGCTGAGCATCTGGCGGTGCAGATTCTTTAGCATCGACACCTGTGGCGACCAGGGTTTCTAACCACGAAAGGTCCGGCACCACATGATAGGTTTCGTGTGGATGTATGAATTCAGAGACAGATTTGTCTTCAGACAATGGTTCGCGTTCTACAGAGTAGACACCGTCAGCAGGGGTAGCGATCACTTCCAAATCGGAAAGGTCCGGAACTTGGATGTGGGCTTCGTATGGTTCGGCATATTCTAGAGTTTCTTCCAATTCAGATGGATATTCAAATGATGAGTAAGTGCTGCTGATTGCAACTGAAGAATCACTTTCAGCTTGGAGTATTTCGTAACATGCAGACAATGGTGATGCGGTGGATGACCTTGACGGGAAAGTATAGCCTGAAACTTCACATTAGTTTCTTTTCAATAAACCAGAATAAGGACGGCATCAAACGCAGTCATATGAATCTCGAGTCTCCATAGTATCCCATCTGAGATCTTCAATATTAATCTCATTAAAAATGTGCAGTACACAAGCTGCGAGCAAAATTCTTGGATTGGAGCTAATGTCCTGAAGTCGTATGCTAGCATCGGAGTTGCGCTCCAGGTCAGCAAAAATCATTTCAATAATGGCACGGACGAGATTGTCACAGTATGAGTGAAGTGAGTATGAGCTTTGTAGTGAGCTTTCATAGAGCTCAAATAAGGCAATTATAATAACACCAGTGGAGAACACTTCAGCAAATAAGGAGACCTTTTGTCCAACATATGTAGATGAGTGAGAATCTGAAAGCGAAAAATGAAATCCAGATGTGGAAAAACTCATCACACATTTGACACAACCTAAAGTGCTGGTGTGGCCGGAAGGGGGGCTAAAAACTTTTTCTCGACCCAATGAAATTCACACTACTGTATGCTATCATCTATAGAGTCGGGCAGATTAGAGCGTAGCAAATATACCATTGCGACGGTGTCCCTTTGCCACGATCTGCGCTATCAAAGTTAGTATTGCCTATCTAATCGCTACTATATACAGGGGTGGCCAAAAAAAAGAGACACTTCACTTCAAAGTTCAGCCAGCATTAATCACACTTTGCTAGAATCAAATCGACTGAACCCAACTTAGTATTAAAGAGCACACTCTAATCTATCTAAATGTCACGTGACAGCCTTCTGCACCGACTACATCAGAAGATTTTCCCACGGAAACATGGTTCACGGTACGAGCTCAACGAGGTCGTCGATGTACCATAGGCCATTACGACCTCCCCGAAACGCTGGTTAAAAGCGGTCTTGCACAGTAACAGCTAGTGTCTCCTAGAAGTTATTCACCATCTAATCAATTGAAGAAATCATGTAGCAGCTTCAGGCCGGAGCGATTACAGCAAGCCTCGTTGAGCTCGACGGTGACGACAGATGACGTCATATTTTGAAGACGGTGGAGGCAGTGAAAAAGGGCCTACTTCTGCTTACGTGGGAACATCTTAGGAATATTCCGCCATAAAACTCTCATTAACATCGGCGCCCTGTGCGACAAAAAGTTCGATGATGTGCGCCATAGGCAAAGTGTCTTCTTTTTTTGCCACCCCTCAGGGGTAATACCCGCTAAGTATGTCGCGGCAATGTGTTGGTCTGTGTGTGTGTGCGTGCGGCCTGTTTGTCACGAAATTCATAGCTCATTCGCTGTAACAGTGGAGCGCTGTATCTTAAGTATGGTGTAGAGGGTAGGACGGGATCATGTTTGGTGGAGGTCAGAAAGTGATAACAGCTGATAAGGGCTGATAACGAGTCTTAGTACGGAATATTTGGTATTTGGTTTTTATTTGGGTGAGGGTGTTCCAGCCAGCAGTGGAGCGTTGGGTTGTATTGCAGATATGATATAGGGGTGGGACGGAGGCATATCTGATTGGGGGACAGGAAGTGATAACGGGCTGATAGGGGACTGTAAGGAAGCATGGAACGCCAAGTGTTTCGGAATATCAATAGAGGTGTGTCCAGCAGCAGAGGAGGTGTTGATTCCGACAAGTGAGTAGGGTGGGACATGTGCATATTTAATGGGGACCAAGACGGTGAATAGCAGCTGATCGGGTGCGATAAAGCGCTGGAACGCAAATGTCACTTAAAGTTTATCAGGGATGCGCCGCAAAGACGAAAATTCTCGTTTTCCTCGCGATTGTCGTGATCCGTTTCGATCCCGCCGTAAAGCAGCCCGGAGCCTTATGAGATGGTCGCGATCTGTTGAAACATTGGTATTTCTAGTCTCATGCATCAGGCATAGGAGGTTTCGACCGCTATACCGATCTCAAAAAAGATCCAAGCATGGAGATTGTTTAGGGCTATAGAGCTTGATAATAAGCATCCCAAGCAATTGTTTTCCAGCCGCAATCTCCTACGCTCTTTTCGGCTAGTGACTTCGTAGTTCCAAAAAATGGTGTGTTTATTGTATTGCCGGAGTTTTTGAAATTAAATGCTTTATCACTTGAATTTCCTTAAGATCATCAGTCAATCCCTTGAGATCAGTGTGTTACTCAATACAATAGCCTGGCTATACTCACTTTCACTTGCATGCGCGCAATAGCGGGCGAAGCAAAACTGGTTCATATATAAAGCCAACCCAGAATGAGCAAATTTTCAGTTGTGAAACCACTGATCTCGTCCGCTAAGAAGATGAAAATTAAGTCGATCACTTATCCTTCTATTATATAAAGCGCTAACTTTGTGTGTCGGTTTGTGTATCTGTATGTGTGTGTGTGTGTGTGTGTGTGTGTGTGTATGTATGTGTGTCCGTCCGCAAAATGAAGTGAGTGAGAAGGAAGCTCATGGGATAAACAAACCGCTAACAAATCGGGTAGCTTACAGGATTTGAGATATCAATGTTTTGTAGCAGGATAGTTGTGATAACACTCTTAGGGCTATATAAACACCTGCTTAGCACACTTCCGTTCATTCCACATGGTGCTGCAGTGGCAGCTGGAGGAGGAAGGGAGGATGAGGAAGGGAAGCGAAAAATCTACCGTCATATCATGATTGTGTCCCTTCTACTGTATGAAACACCATTGTGTTGCATACGCGTCACTTCCAGGAGGTGTTGGTGTCACAGGAGGAAGGGACCATAGCGGAGGATAGAAAGCTTGCGCAGGAAAGGAAGGTCCCGGCGGTTGACGGGGGACTAATCTGGTATATTAAAACCCAGAAGGGGCAAGAAAGGAAGGCTGGAAGGGAGGGGGAGAGAGAGAAAGAGGGAGGGAAGGGGAGAGGAGAAAGGGAGGGAGAACATGGCGCTGTCATGCGCCGGAGAGAAGGGTATAAGGAGGGAGAGGGAAGAGACTGAGAGAGAACGACCGTTTTAGAGTAAGGTCTATATTCATGTTGACGTATTATTCTAACCTGATGTGGTGATTGTGATAACACCCACAATGGCTACAAAAACACCGAACGAGCACACTCAGCCTCATTCTACATGGTGCTGCCGGGGCAGCCGGAGTCGGCGGGCGGTAGAGGGAGGGGGAAAGCAGAAGGGAGGGGGGAGGGGAGAGAGGGAGGGAAGGGAGGAGAGGAGAAGGGAGGGAAGCATGTGGTGCTGCCATGCGCCGGAGAAAGGGGTATTCAGAAGAGGTAAAGATCTATGTATATATTAAACACAGAGCCGGATGAGGAGTGAGGTCACTGCATGAAATTTTATAGTGAGGTGGTCAATGAGTAACGTCAATGCTGTCTCTCCGCGTTTTCCTCCTACCGTGTGATGCCGGCGCGGATAGGCGGCAGGCCAAACCTGGTTTTTTATGAAATTACAACTCATGGAAAAATCGGCCCTCAAAGATGAACCTACCAACTGACGCCTACACAACAGATTCACTGAGATTGTGCCCGCTTCGAAGTGTCAGATGGCATCTCCCAATAAGTACATTTAATTAAGAAAGAGCCGGGGGGAGTTAGAGATTGTTGCTGTACCGTGATGTCCACGCGTTCTTCTTGCCTTTATCAGTAAAAAAAAAACGAGAAATCATTGGAGAACCCGTCATCAGTTATTACGTGTCATCAACTATACCCCACGATGAGTGTGTGATCATTCCTTTCAATCTTTTGAGCTTCCTTTCAATCGAATTCGCATGCACGCGAATTCTTGATTGCTTACCTGAGACCCATTGAATATTCATAAAATCGCCGTCGTAGTCCAGTGTATCAAACCATTTTGACAAGCGTCTCCCAAACGTTTCTATTCGGTTCTTCAAGGTTGTCTGAGACCATTCAGCAGTTTTGAAAACATTCATATTGAGGCTATTAGATGAATTTAAGCACAACGTCGGTAGTTCCAAAGAATTTTCAGCTACCTCGGCTGCCCTCCATACCATATTGTCGTAAAAAAGGCACTTTGAATGAGAGCGTAGATCCGCTAAATCGAAACTGTGCAATCTGCAATTGTATTCAAGATGATGGTTTTTTGGTGGATCTGCAAAAAAGACGAAGTGACCTTCTGGTATAGAGTCCATTTGTACGAGATCGGGACGCTCCAAACTGTCCTCGGAAGATCTCTTCAACACTGAATCGACGTTCCGGATCCAGCTTTGACTTCCGAATTCGCCCATAACGCGACAAATGACGACCTTCGACCACAACTCTGGCAGCCCGTCGAGACTCCTCTGCTCGTCGAAGAACCTATTACGAAATAATTTCAATAGTGAAAGAAGAAGCAGGAATATTTACTAACTGAGCCTATTCTACGCATACATGTGCCGTTAGATCCCAGTAAGTACTTTTAGCTCCCCTCGCGGAATAAAATTACGCGGCAACCGATCACTCTCCTTTATCACGAGCCAATTTTGTAGACAATTCTCGAGTAGCAAGGCCACAGGCACATGGCGGGACCTCAAGTTTTGGACACATTTTTTTTCTTATGAGTAACATGGTGATAGCGCTGGCAGCTTGACAACGTTGAGCGTTTCTCTTTTTTGATGGCGTGAAAAGGGTGAAATTTTGAGTGCACAGCAACCGTGATTCATTATCGGGTCACACCGTCCCACACGGTTAGCAAAGAGGATCCAGATGTGATTACCCTTTGCAAATCGCGTGAAACAATGCGCTAGCTCACTTTTGTCCAAGTCAGGCCTACTGCTGAGAAAATGTATATCAAAAGACAGTTTTGAAACTCACTTCGGCAATATGTTCCCGTTGTTGTTCCGGAAGTTCTTCCAACGCGCAGTGGATAGAGGACGACGTTGATGGTTCAAACTGCAACGATTCACTCTCTTCCCGAATCCCCTGCAAAATACAAAGTGATGAAATATGTGGACACTTGAGCCGGTGTCGCTAAGCAAGAGTAGCTCTTAAAGCTAACACAAATTTCCGAATTCCCTCTTCGAAGAGAACAGAACGGAGAGAACGTTCCATTCACAAAAGGCTTCATCAGAAGAGTGGCTCGTCATTACAATTTTGAAGTGTGGTCGGCTCGTGTTGTCCCCCGATA